AAATTTCCAAACAAATTTTGTGTATAAAAAGATGTGAAAGATTTTGTGAATGGAACAGTCTTCAAAAAATTATTGAAGTGAATTAAAAGTAACAAACGAGTAGTAAAGATGCGTTTTTTTATTGTATTTGCCGTCATTGCAGCCATCCTGTGTGCTTTGGCTGTAGCTGAAGAATCAAATCAACAGGAATTGATCAGAAATAAACGACAATTCGGTTACAATCCTTACTATGGAGGTGGTTTTGGTGGCTTTGGTAGACCTGGTTTCGGAGGTGGCTATTACGGACGTCCAGGCTTCGGTGGTGGTTTCTATGGAAGACCAGGATTTGGTGGTGGTTTTGGTCGTCCAGGATTTGGATTCTATGGTTAAAGAAATATAGGATCTAGTACAAATGTTGGTGATAATATGCAAGATACGTTAACGATTAAAAATTAAGATTTGTATAATTGAATAAATAAAAAAAAATATGTGTAATAATTCAAAAAATGAGTATTTCTTAAAACTTATAGCTTTCTGTGTATGTAATATCAGAGCTGTGCAGTAATGATTACATTTGTAGTTAGATTACATTCAATTATAAATTACTGTGTAATTTAATTGATAATTGAATTTTCAGATTATATGTGTAATTTAATTGAAAACCTCAATTACGAATTACAGTATAATCGTAATTTGTAATTTAGTTTCTAAATTACAGGCACAATTGAAATTCAAATTCAAATTTCAAATTACGTGTAATTTGCGAAAATAATCTAGAGAAGAAGAAGCATTGAAACTTCTGAAAGATGATAAACGAATCGAAGCTATGGTTGGATTTTGGGTTGTAAGTGGCCCGCATTTCGTTTGCGCCTTCATTCATAATCTCTTGTTCCATTAGAACTTCAAAGCAGATCAAGAGGCAGAAAAATTTTTTTTTTGTACGCAAGTGGAAATGTGAATATGTTGCATTGTTGCTTTTTTTTCATGAAGTTGTAAATTTAATATTGCTGTTTTTTTTGTATTTCTGTCTTGTACAGTGATCAAAAATATGTATTTAGAAATGTGTATACTTGTTTCTTTTGTTAGGTTGCGGGTGTACTTTTCTATGCTTTTGCTCTATGATATTTGTTTGTTTTGCTTGTATGTTTTTTTTGTTTTGGATTGTAGTTTTTTTTATGAAATTTAGGAAGGCGTCTATTTTGCATGATTTTATTTTTCTTTTGTTTTAAGCGCTGATATGCATGTGTGTCAGAATGTGTATACATTTTGTTGTATTTTTTGTTTAATTGATTGTACATTTGCTTATGAGTTGGGCGTAAATTTTTTTAAGCAAATTTGGAAAGATCGTTGTTTTTGTGCATCAAATAAATATATGCAAATTTGTAAGCAGTATATGTATGTGTGTACAATGTGTATGCCAATAATATTATTTTATCTGTAATGAGATTATGCCTACATTTATGTTTTAGGAATTATTTTTATTGCTAAGGTCGTGTGCGAGTTAGGCTAAGTTGATGCTAAACCAAATGGGAGATTTTTTGGGATTTTTTGCACTGCACACATATAGCCATTTATCAACACGTATCGACACATCACTACATTATCGGCACAACTTAGAATTTCCCGCATATAGAACGCAACTTAGCCTAACTCGCACACGACCTAAATACCATTTTAAAATTAAAATAACATAAATGGGTAGTAATTTGTAGTTTAAGAATAAAGTTTTTAGACAAAGTCTTATGCTGGATGTATATTTGGTTTTGTATGTGCAATAATTTTTAATTGAATATTTATTAAATGGTTAATTGCGTACAATGTTTAATTTTTCACTGTATATGTGTATTTTTATATTTCTGAATATAATAAATTATTTTAATAACTAATTTTTATTAATATCGTCTAGTGATAATATTCATGTATATATGTATGTATAAAATTTTTAAAATTATATATTTCAATATTTTGTAGCAATGTGATAACAATACCAAATATACTTTAAAATTTTGAATTTCAATTAAGTTTGAATTTACTTATTAAAAATATTTGAGAAAAAAATTATCATAAAAAGCTGAGTAATGAGCATGCATTTAAGGGTGGTTTTGCCCAATTATATTTTTTTGTTTTTTGTTTTAAGCTAATGTGTAAACATTTTGTTGTTTTTTTTTTTTGGTTTGACTGATTGTACATTTGCTTATGCGAAACGTGTGCATTTTTTTTAGCAACTTTGGCAAGATCGTTGTTTTTGTGCAGTATATGTATGTATATACAATTTATGTGCAAATAATATAATTTGTTTTGCTCATAAGGTTTGCCTACATTTGTTTTTGTAACTCATAATATGCATTTTATTATGATTACTTGATTGTACAGCTGATTTAGAAAAGGGAAAATAAATAATTTATCTTTTGCGCTTTCGTTTTATAATATAAGACATTAAAAATATTAACAAATTATATGTTTATAATATTTTAATATTTTATAGCAATATGATATCAATTTCCAAACAAATTTTGTGTATAAAAAGATGTGAAAGATTTTGTGAATGGAACAGTCTTCAAAAAATTATTGAAGTGAATTAAAAGTAACAAACGAGTAGTAAAGATGCGTTTTTTTATTGTATTTGCCATCATTGCAGCCATCCTGTGTGCTTTGGCTGTAGCTGAAGAATCAAATCAACAGGAATGGATCAGAAATAAACGACAATTCGGTTTCAATCCTTACTATGGAGGTGGTTTCGGTGGCTTTGGTAGACCAGGTTTCGGAGGTGGCTATTACGGACGTCCAGGCTTCGGTGGTGGTTTCTATGGAAGACCAGGATTTGGTGGTGGGTTATTCCGTCCAGGATTTGGATTCTATGGTTAAAGATATATAGGATCTAGTACAAATGTTGGTGATAATATGCAAGATACGTTAACGATTAAAAATTAAGATTTGTATAATTGAATAAATAAAAAAAAATATGTGTAATAATTCAAAAAATGAGTATTTCTTAAAACTTATAGCCTTCTGTGTATATAATATTAATGTAAATTTTATAATATAATATGAAGACATCTTCAATTTTTTACAGTTTTCATTTAGTAGTGAAAAAAAACTATTGGTTTTGAAAAAATTTTCGAACAATATGTAAGTTATATATATTTGTGCCTATCTGAATGGCGATAAATTTGTCTCCCAGTTTTTGGGTTAAACATGTAATACTTGTTTTGGGCGGTTACAGTTTTTAATCCTAGGTGATCAAAATTTGGTCTATTGCTTAGTTATAGCAAGTAGCCCCCAAACACAACATCTGTTCAAATGATAACTATTATTTTTAACATTATAACTAATAATAACTATAATACAACGATTTGTGTGAAGGGTATTAAAGCTTCAACAAAACCAAAACAAAACTTTCTTCTTGTTCTGAGTTTTTAATTCTTAATTTATTTTCTAAAATGTATAAACCTTGAGTAATTGTCATCACAGCAATCCACACTTAATCTTCTACAAATTTAACTACTTGTACTGCTTGAATCAACATTGTCAACTTATGTTCTCAATTCTCCCCCACTTCACTAACTTCTGAATTTCAACTTCGTTTGCTACATGAAAACTTACAAAAATTGGTTTTTTTTTTGCTAATTCTCACAAAGAAAATTTTGCAAAATTTTAACACGGGAAATTTGCATTTAAACTCAATAAATTCACATTGTAAAAGGCACTTTCAAGTGGGGAGTGGTAAGTCGTGGAAAGATATGTAGCTACTGTAACTGATTTACGCCAGATTCATGTAACCAATAATATTCACTTTAACAGCAAGACGACACACAATACATCTCCGTTGATGTGGGGAAAACTTCTACTTGGCGGGTATGGTTCCTTATGTGTATGCATATCGCACATTCAATGCGAGTGCGTTCTTCATCGACTTATGCCATACTAAGCTTCTTCTTCCTTAACTTTTACATATCCCTGCTCCATTCTCTTCTGCTATTAACTTTTCACATACATTTGAACAATTGTAAGACTATCAACTGCAAATAAGTAGATTTCTTTTGAAGGTTTATTTTGCATAGTGCTTTAGGCAAAATTTACGTTATTTACGATATTTACGGATTTTAATACACTGCAGTATTCATTATTTCTACGTATTTCCTTGTATTACTTGAGATACATCGTCTTTTCCTTAGGAATGTTGGAATTTCTAGTACTTCTTGTAGTTGTAATTTAAATATGTTAATGTTCTTTGTAAATATTTTCATTGCAATTGTCAGTTTGTTTTGATTAGAAATTTGTATAATTTTCTTAGCAAAGAAAGGTCATACATATCATTTAGAAAGCAATCAAACTGAAGTAAATTGGTAGAAAAGTGTTGTATAGATATTGTATAGGTTTAGAATAGGCATTGGGATAAAGTAATAATTTCAATCGAAAATTAGAAAAATAACTTTTATTAAATTAAAAATAATTATTAAATAATGTTTCTTTATCAAATTGTCTTTGTAATAATTTTTTGAAATCCTTTTTATAAAATTTAAATAATAACAATATTTTCTGTTGTAATATACTTGTTCGATATAATTAGCGTAGGGTATAGGGACTACGAATATTATAAATCACATATGCTAAAACCAAACGACGATTTATTGTTATTTAAAATAATCTCTATTTCGGAATTTTTCCCGATGTATGCAGAACTTCAGTAAATACCAGTGAATACTAACTTCATATATAGAACTGCTTAACTTCAGTGAATACCAACATGAATATTTTGTCTAGTTATAGTAATAAAGCATTACATAACGTATTTCTTTAAATCGGGGTTGACCAAAGCACGGCCTCGACTAAAATTTGTGCGATCCACGACGTTTTTCTAATCTACCACATTTAGGCAAATTTTTCTTTGTTATATTCTGGTAACAATTCATTATTTGTATTGTATCCCAAATAAGTGTATTCAAATATTTTAAATAAGTTATAACACTTCACGTAAATTTATTTAATTGACAAAAACTTTAGTATAATTTAGTATAAAATTAGTATCCAGGGACTAAATTAAATAATATAGTTGTATTTTTATTTTTCTCCAAAAAAATTATGAACGTATGTATTTATTTCTGTAGCCCTCCAATCAATTCAGTGATTTGAATTAGGCCGCGATCCTACCTGATTTGGACAACACTGCTTTAAATATTTGACTAATTTTCATTTTAAATCACTATAACTTTTTACACCAGCAACAAATTATACAACTACTTTCCAGAATTTTCACCTTTCAAACACGTATTCGTTCGATATAATTGGAATGATGTTGTCATAAATGGGTAGCGAAGTAGCGACATCATATAGTGACAAAAAAACGGGGGATACTTACCACCATCACTCAATATTTTTAATAGTGGTGA